GTTACAAAAACATCTTCTCGTTTGAGATTGTGACGTGGAAGGCAATTCTTGAAATGAGATGTAGAGGTACATTTATGGAAATTGAGGATAGTGTGCTTGGGGTAATGCAAAATCAATATATATATATATATATATATAATACATTTAAAACTGCACCTCAAGTGCCAGCCCAAGTTCAGCTTCATTATAGTAGAACTTCGCAGTATCGAAAAGGCGATATCCGGCACCCAATGCGGCATCAACGGCTGGCTCCATCTTCAAAAATATGTTTTGCCCCATTGTGCTAGTCATTTCGACTGCCAAACTCTGTTTTTTCGACTACGAGAGAAAAAGCAATTCAACAAAATCGCTTATCTGCACTGAATCGGACTTCCTTCTTGTTTAATACTTCTCTCTAATGCCATAATGTGAACTGTATTGACAATACGATTAAAATCAGCTGATAGATAGTTCATAGAAAAAATGCTCTTTTTTAAGATCAGAAATCATTATACCTGAGATTTTTCCTACGCAAAATACGCGGCCTCTTACATCTCTGCTTTCAATTCGCAAAGTAAAAAGAATAATTCAACTGAAAGGTTGCACGACTGATGACGCACCTCATTAGAAAGTTAGCCCTTCGCAGGAGAGATGGCAAAATCTCCAATCTCTTTCTTTTATTTGAACAAATAGCTCTAGCAATTTCCAACACTATTTTGCAAATTACACAAAAATGAAGGAAGGTGTTGGCGGTGAAATGGCAGCAAATGTTCATACGTTGTTTCGTAGTTCTGACGAAAAGAATCCATGGTAATTCAAAAAGTGGGCGCGAGACCTTAGCAATGAAGAGTTCCCTGTTATGTTTAAAAACATTTGCGACGAATTTCCAAAAATTTTCAAATATTCTAACGTCTCAAAAGTACGAACCAATTCTCCTGTGATTTTGTAGGTCCCAAGCCCAATCAATGGAAGTGAGTATCCGGTGCGCAACGTGCTACTTTCAATGTGAACGCTCATTTTCTGAAGTTCTAAATCATCTATCCAAAGATCGCTTATAGTCAACATACGGAAGTATTTAACTTAACATTCGTATCTAGAAATAAGATATAAGATTATATGTCGCAGAGACCGAAAAAACTCAAGAGAAAGAAGAAAAGAGAAAGCAAAATTTATTGCATAAGGCGAACAGATTAAAAAGAAATAAAACTAGAAACTATCATCTAACACGCCACCCGTAACAGCGAATATAATGTTGGTCCCGATTGAGTTTATGCAAAGACTCGATCTCGTTCTCATCCAATTTCACATTTGCTACCTAAAAACAGGCAAAATAGATTTCAAATTTAAAGCGGCTAATTGTCGATTGGAAATATTGTAACACTTAAGCAGACTTTTGTATTACATATAATCATTCTTGCCACATTACTTCACCTAAATGTTATCTGAAAGAAGGAAATGTGGTCCAAAACAAGATTAAGAATAGCACTGAGTTGCAAGCAGCAACCTTTGAACACCTTATCTTGATTGGCGCTGCCGCTCGCAAGTGTAAAGGTCGTAAATGATTAGAAAATGAAACCCTTTAGATAAATGCGTA